AGTTAGTACCGTCTATATTTTCAAAATGTGGGCCTTGTGCTAAAGAGCCCGCTCAGTCAAAACACCCACGTGTGTTGGTTTCAGACGGAGGTTTGCCTGAGTTAGGAATTGCAGGCCTCTAGTTCATCCGCAGTCCCTTTGATAAAAGGTTTTAGGACTGAAAAAAACAAAGCCCAGGTCAAGTGATTATATCAAAGGCTTTCAAAACTGAAACACTAGCAATTGCTCTTGCTTAACAGGAAAGTTCACAGCTGAGGGATAGGTGTCCAGGAACAAGAGGTTGAGAGAGTGCAACTGTGTAAGCAGAAGCAGGGAGTATCTGAACAAGGTAACAACATACCAGAAGACCAGACTCAAGTGATAACGTAACTTGTGGGATGAAAACCACTCCTCATGCAAGTCATTTACCTTATAGGGCCCCTCGGGGCAACTGCTGTTAATGGCCGCTGTCAAACTAATTATAAAGGCAAAAGAAAACACACATACAACTGGTATTTTTTAAACAAAACACCTTGGACAGTAAACCTTATTTTTCTGTTAGACAACACGTTTGTAGATGCATTATCTTACATTATAATTAATGTCACAAATTTATAAACAACAGGTGTTCATTGAAAGAGAGTTGTTTGCTCAAATCAGGAAACATTCATATCCTCAATTTTTTGCATTCTTTTTTAGCATTAGACTTTTTTTTGCATACTTTTTTAGCATTAATTAGCATAAGACAGAGAAAAAAGAATTAGGGGATGGAAAACAGTCACACTGTCATTGTCTCATGGATGTTATGTAAACTGGAGTCTATAGACAAACTGAAATTATTTTCTCATGTGCTAAATCAGTAACAATGTTATCACGTGCATTTCATAACCGCCTTTCCTAGTAGAACCTACAAATGATAATACCCCACAAAATTTAAGGGATCGTCCAATACCTATTGCATGAAGTAAAAGTAGTTTCCTTTGAAGTAACCCTGTAAGGGAACGCATTTCTGTTAACGTAAGAAAATTTCCAGCTGTATATTCCATAATGCATCATAGATCATTACATAGTCATAAGATATAGCAACTGTTAAAAATAAATAAATAGAAGTTTCTGGGGTAGGAACAGGTCATTGGATTTGAACTTTATGAAAGTTATTAAGAAAAACTACAAATGGTTTCTTATTTAATATTTACATGTAGTATATTTTATCCCTCCTTGTACATACAATTGAACACATTTACACTTCAGACCTACCTGGGAACTAGTTACTTAAAAAAATAAATGTTTTCCCCTTAGTCTATGTTAATGTAAATTTATAAACCTTGCCATACACATACTCCTTATATTTTAAGTGCACACTTAACTGTTTGTCAGAGTGTTTAACAGCATCATATGTGTAGTATGAGTGAGTTAAATTGGCAAAGGCAATCCTTACTTTTACCGTTCTACACTTTTTCTGTTTAAGTCCAAAACCGTAACGTTGTGTCAACCTTTTCTTACATTTAATTTTCTCCCTTTTTTTAAATGTGGAAAGGGAAAAAAATGAAACAAAATACTTGTGAACTGGAATAGTTGGTTGCACAATTTTGTTTTATGCAATTTCATAAATTTTAAATTTAGGCATATGTATAGGCTTAAACAGAAGATGCTATCTATAGGGCTATGAAGTTACACAATATTTTACGCAATTTTATTACACTACAGGCAATTACACAACAAAACTTAATACATTTTTTTACAGGAATGAGTGAAGCCATTTTTAAACTCATGTCTTATTCTGTTACCCGTTTTCAAAAGCATGCAGTCACTAATCCTTAGTGAAGACTAGTCAAGTGCAAAATCTTGAAATGTCAAAATCTGGACATTTAAAAAAAATGTCTTACAGTGATTTTAATAAATCTAAAATGGGGATAAAGATAACCTTCTCTTGCCATTAAATCACCCATGGGCTGAGCCTGAGGATGGCATATTTCAGTCTACAATTTTTTTTGAGTAACTATAAGCAATTAAAAACAGAGCAGACAGTAGTGACAGCCTTAACTATAGTATTTACTAGGGCAAAAACCAGTAACTGCAAAGAGGGAATGTAAGACCAGTTAGAAAGAGGACTTCAGCCCGGAGCAGGATAAGGCCTGCACAGTCAGTCCTATATTCCTTTCTCACTGGATTCTGAGTTTTTTACTAAAGCAAGGATTTCAAGATTTTTGCCTGAATTTCATTTTGATACTTCATGGCAATACATAACACACCACGAAAAAAAATATTGCTTAAAAAAAGGTACATGGTAGGAACCATGGTTTAAAACAAAAGGACCCAAATTCTGTTGATCTAAACTCTTAATGTTAATTAGATGATAGCATTAGTACTTTATTGCTAAAAGCATAAACTAAGTCTAGGGATTACAGTATCAGAAATGAAAGGATACACTCGCTGTTCTATGAAGAGATAGTGTATATTGCTGTTGAAAGTCACTGAGAATACAAAATATTTCCCCCAAGTCATTTGGTACCGAAAGGCCCAGTTCACTTTCACTAGGGTAGGCAGGTTTTTACGTCAAATGCAGTGAGTGCAGGATGCGGCCCAAGATTTGGATTAAATTTGTCTATTATTGTAAAGGTTCACAGTGAGTATCTATGTGTTTGCATTTGTCATTCCTATTAAAGTTGTCAGGATTCTACAGTTTAAAGAATTTGCAAAGCAATTAAACTTTGTCACACTTACTGTTCCTAACAGTTTTATTTGAGGTCCTCAAAAAAAAATAAATCCAAATAACTTTTCACATCTCTTTACCCACTCCTTAAATAAAGTTGTATTTTAGCAATACTGCAACTGTTAAAAACCTCCAAAGATTAATTCAAACTTAAAAGCACAATTACAGCATTTGTTAGAGTAAACTTAGTGGCATGATAAACCAAGTGTAACATAGACCTAATGTAGTATTACAGAGTGTGCTCTTGAAGCTCGGTTAAATAAATTAAAGATCCTTTTCCTACTGAGGAAGGAAGGAAAAGGATCTTTAATATATTTAATTGCTACCATTACTAAAACAAAGAACCGCCCCCCTCCCCAACACTATCAACAGTATTCAAAAATATCCCTGGAATCTTTCTTTGAACTGTGACCTAAAATAAAGTGGGGCTCCCCCAGCTCATGCTCCCTAGTATGCAGAGTTGAGCCACAGTTTCAATATTTTGAAAACCCTTCTATAGAGACTAAGACTCTAACCTGATTCAAGTGCCTACATATTTTTCATTCAATGGCAGAAAATAGAACTATAATTTTGAAAATATGTTAAAAATAGAATCATGTGATCTTTTTTCCACCTAGAATTTTATCCCTACAATTAAAGACTATTAGCTGGCATCCCTTTAACCGTCAAACTCAGACAGTGGCAGTTCTATAGCCACAAAGAGAAGCAGTAAATGAGAAGAACATGTTACTACACTGCATTTGAGAAAGTTTGGCTCCAAGCTATGCACTGATTAATATCAGATCTCCTTCTTTACTTGCCTCTTGACAATCTTGTCACATCTGGCTGACAAATCCTTACAAGCTTATCCAAACCAAGGCAGCCCAGATCATGCTCCGGGACTAGCTTGAAGGAAGCGGCAACACCAGCCATGCACTGATGTGCCATCATGAAACTAATGAAGCTGACTTCACTTGCAGACTGCAGGAACACGAAGAAACACAACATGCCTCCAGGTTTTGCAACATAAGACAGAGTTAGCTCACCAAAAGATAAGACAAACAATCAGCTCCCGAGGTTCAGGAAGCCAAGTAGTTACATGAATAGAAAAAAATGTATAAAATACTTGAACAGAAACCTCAACTACATGAACACAGCACAGTCTAACTTCAAATTAGCTGTACAATTTAACTGCTAGTTGCTTTTTAAAACTGATTTTTTTCTCCGAAAGAATTAAAACGATGACAAATAATTGTTATTTTTCCTTCCACCTTCCCAATATTAATATCTTGCCTGACTCCCCAAATTCTTTGACCTAAAAGGAACATTGTTTTTAAAAGCATGTCTCATGTATTATCTCTAGCTTTTTTAAACAGGGTAAACCATAGTTTGCGTGAATGTCAGAAACCCTCTCCCTAGGTTAGCAATCTGCCGACTCCTCATTTTTAAAGCAAGCATTCGTTAAACTGAGGGCTGGGGTACTTGACCAATTAGCAGAGCAGAAAGTAAAACGCTATTTCCTTAAACACACCTAACAAAATAGCACTGGATTAAACTGGCAGATGATGTTCTGTTTGTTTTTCTTCAGGATGAAAAAAAAAAATCAAAAGAAATGAAATGCCGGTTTTAAATTCTAATTCAATACTTAGCCTCTTATTTCACTGTAAAAACATACAACAAACTGCAATACAGACAAGCAAACTGGTCTCTAAGCAAAAGATTACTGGCCTTATTTTTCTGGATGCTGAACAGTCAGCAGTGAATTGTATATAAAGGGCATACATTAGGCTTTACTTTAGTGCTAATTCCAAAAGAACTTCATAGTGAAATTGTATTGTTGTCTGGTCTCCAGTGCATTTATACGTCACAATAACGATAATGTAACTGCTTGAAGCACTTGACTCAGAATACAATTAAGTCACAAATCACAGATTTTATTGCTATTAATGTATATTCAGGACTTGAACAATTAAACATTGTCAAGTATTTGTGATTTACGGATGCCACTACTTTGATGGGAAAACAATTAGCCAAGCGATGGTTCTCCTTTATTACAGTCAGCTTATAATTCTGAATGACTTACTTTCATAGCAGAGCTGTGCAGCTGTTTACAATGCATTTGGGGCAAAAGAACAGGATTTTGAAAATAAAGGAATCGAGCATCATTTAGTAATTAAGGCAGAAATCGAAAGCACAGTTCACTAAAGCTTTCACCCCACTATTGTGCATTATCCAGAACACCACCAAAATGTTCTGGTTTTAGAGCCACAAATAAAAGTTGCAGAGTGAAAATACACATGAATACATAACTGCAAAGAACTTTTCTTACCTCCGACATTCTTACTGTGCGTGTGTTTCCAGAGCTATAAAACAGTTTCCCATTCCCTCAGCGAGTTGTACAAAGAAGTACTGGAAACACTCCTGCCTGTACAAGTACTAAGGCAGAACCATCACACGCCTCTTTACTCTTGTCTGAATCTGAGCACCTCAAGGTCTGATGTATGCTCAGCCTGTGCACAGGGGAGTGAAACAAGATCCTCCCCCTTGGTGTTCTCCAGACCTACAGTACTAAGTTGTGTCTGCCTCTCACCTCTGCGAGCTCTCACCTCCATGCCCCAGAGTGCTGTGTTCCCGCATGCCCCTCCAGTCACAGGGCAGTCCCCTCACAGCTGGCTTGAAGAGGGCATGACACTCATCTTTCACAGAGATTTGATCAAAAGGAGGCGCAGAGGCTTGAGGCACTCCTAATGCAGTGTGAGGAGAATCTACCTCTGCTCTGGCAGTCTAAGTAACGCATTAAATCAATGCAGCTGACCTAAGGCCCATTACAATTTTTTTTTTCTAAGGACGTACAACTATCTGTAAATAAGCTAGGAGGCATTTATGCTTTAAATTACCTATTTTTAGCGCTAGAGCGTTGTTTTTCAGACTTGGAGCTGCAGATTTTTTTTTAAACATTGAGAGGTCTTTAAATGTTAATTTGTTTTAAATGGAGTGGTTTGTCCCCCCCCTAAAGTTGTATTGATTACAATTTTTTTCATCAACTTGAATTTCAGTAAGATCGAGTTTAATTTTTTTTTTTTAATGAACACAACAGAAAGATTTAAAAGACACCACTAAAAATATATGGACCAGAGCATCTTATGTATGTAAAAAAATGTGTCATAAAGATGGGTGGAGAATTACTGACTGGTAAGAGGACCAAAATCTTTTCCCAGTTACCCAGATGTATTGTTGTGACCCAGATTCAGAGCAGTGTGATCCAGGATCTATGTCACAGTCCTCTCCCCTCTTAAAGGGAAAAACATTGAACCTTCCCTGAATACCCCTTTTTCTTTTATCTTTTGCAGTCTTGCATCCTACTCAGGGCAAATTGGGCCACGTCCTGAGATACAAATGGCCAACCCGCACAACTCTGTTGGAAACCTTTACAAACATCTGTGGACAATATTTTCCCATAAGGATTCCAGTAATCCCACTGGAGAGGTGGCAGGAAGTAAGATAGCTACAAGGAGAAGACATCTAAAAGAACTAATTACTGGCAAGTACTTTTACTTTTTTCTCTAATGCTATTTATGATCTGTAGATGCATGTGCAGTTCTTACACACACAACCTGATTCACTCTCGTTTGATACTGGTGTAAGACCTGTGATGACTTCGTTAAAAACAACAGGCATACACCCGCATGGAACCAAAGTGAATGCAGAATCAGGCCCACAAGCCCAACCTCAGGGATCTCACAGCAAGGAGAAAACTGTCCTTAAAACCCTTGCTTTCTCCACCCTTTCTTGTGTATGGTGAGCAGAAAACAAGAGTGATTTTGCTTCATGCCACTGCCTGCTGGTTATGTCTGCTATAACAATGTATCTGCATGGGAGGAGTTAACCGCGTAGGGCTACATCGGTCTTCAAACAACATGGGGTTCCAGGGTCACTTTGGTCCTCTTCCCCTGTGAAGGGGCATTCCCCTGAATGAAATGTCCTGTGACAGGCATGGCCAGCTAGCTTCCAGCGTGTGAGCTTGGTGGGAAAATAATTTCTTAACTGACAAGAAAGAGGCTCAATATCATAGTTAGCATCTTATTATCTAATTAACAGTAATGCTGGTAATGAAGACAAGGCCAAAACTGTACACCTGTAATGATACTCCATAAAGCCAACAGTGTCTCTTACTGGTATGATCATATTTCATTCTCAACATAATAAACAGCAATGCAGAATGTTATACCAGGGATGTATCTACCTGATTGAAATTCTGCAACAAAAGCTAGAAGAGTGGTTTAAGATCATATAAAATGCCAGGAGGACTGAATTTACTTCAAAATGATAAGTGACTAAAACTTAGATCTGTGGAGAGCTGGTCTTCCCTCTAGTCAGTTTAGAGGAAGAAGCTATTTATGAACTATCTGCCACTCACCTGGAAGAGACTTACTTCTGATTTTAAAATGGGCAAGCTAACCACAGAGAACAGTTTGACTAATTCAGCCTTCTCTCTTAATAAATTAGCCACAAGTACTTTAATTTGTTATGCATATTTTCATTATTTGCAATTGTTCAACTAACATTTTCTGTAACCACATTCCAGCCTTGCTCTTTCCATATGGCTAGGACACTGGATGTCCACCGTATTAGCATCTGACCCTTGTACACCAAGCAAATGAGGTTCTCATTTACTAGAAAGAATGTTCATCTGTATATCAACTTTGAATTAACTACTAGATAATGTACAGGCACTTGCAATAATTTCACTCTCCTATGTTTCACTGAAATTGTCAAGCTGGACTCTGTTCAGCAGTTAACCAGAATGGGAAAGAAGCATCCAAAGAGATGTTGAAGTAGCCTCCAAAACTCTTTTGGCAACAAAGGCCAAAGGGGCACAGAACGGGAGTATAACAAAGTGTGGTCAATAGGACAGGGCACTAGATTCAGTCGGGGGACCTGGGTTCCATTCCTTGCTCTGCCACTGATTGCTGTTTAGGGCTGGGTCAGTGGGAGCCAACCTTTTTGGCAGATGTGCCACAAATTAGCCCTGCGCCCTCCCCTTCCTCTGCCCCATCTGCTGCTCTGCTCTGCCCGCTTTCTGCTAGCTGCACTGTTCTCCCCATCTGATCTCCTGCTTTGCTTTCTGCTTCCTACCCTCTGGCACTGTGCTTCTTGTCCCCTCCCTGATCTGCTGCACCCAGAGGCTGCCCATGCCACCTGTGGCACTCGTACTGCAGGTTGGCCACCCTGCTCTAGGTGTTAATTTAAAACAAATAGTAGAATTGGTTAATTGAATCCAGGTATAATGAGGGTCAGGAGGAGGCTCTCTTCCTTTCAACCTCTTCCTTTCTGAAATTCTGCCCCAACCTTTTTCGCATTGTACTGTGTCCTCTTTCTTACCTCATGTCTTGGCCTGTGTGCCCAAATGCACAAGTGCCTGTGAAGTGAGACTGAGAAGGACTTGCCGCTACTTCTTCACCAATGGTAAGGAGTCATCCAAGATGCACCCGACTGGACTAATTAATACCATGTGTACACAGCACAATGAAAGATGCAATCCAGATCTCCAGATACAAAGCCCACTGACCTAATGGGTTTTTGAGATATTAGCTCAAGATCCTAATTTTGTGAGGGGACCCTAAAGCTAAAAGAAAAATCACTACTGCTGGGACTACACAGCGGGGACAGGACTGGTTTAACTGCTGCCATTGCTCTAAGTGTGCAAGTGTGCATGTATCTTCTTTCTGAATA